TCAGTGTGTTGTGTGAATGCAGCCTGGTTATCCTGGGAAGGAAAGTTAAGCTGTCGTGTGAATACCATTTGGTTATCCTGGAAAAAAAAAAGTTCAGCATGTGAATGCAGCCTGGTTTTATCTCGGAAGGAAAATTTAGTGATTTGTGTGAATGCAGCCTGATTGTCCTGGAAATAAAGTTAGGTGTGCCTATGAATGACAGCCTGGTAGGAAAGTTAAGCGTGTTGCGTGAATACAGTTTGGTTATGCTGGAAAAATAATTCAGCATGTCGTGTTTAATGTGGTCAGGTTATCCTGGAAGGAAACTTAAGTGCGCTGTGAGAATGCGGCCTGGTAATCCTGGAAATAGTTAAGCTGTCATGTGAATACAGCTTGGTTATTTATCCTGGAAGGAAAGTGAAGCGTTTCCTGTGAATGCAACCTGGTTATCTTTGAAGGAAAGTTAGGTGTGTTGTATGAATGCAGCTTGGTTATTGGGGGGGGAGGGGGGGAAGTTAAGCATGTTGTGGGAATTCAGCCCAGTTATCCTAGAAAGCAACTCATAGCTTTGCAAAAAAAAAAAAGAGGGAAGTTCTGGGACTTCATAAGAGTTGGTGATTCAGATATCAACTCTTTTGGCCTTTGCTGGGTGGTTCTTGGATAAACCAAGAATGAGCTTTCTGACGTTGGCATCTAGGTAGCCATGTCATCCTGGTTTGTTGGATAGGGTTGTTTTAAAGACTGTCAAAGTAAGTCAGTAAAGAGGTAAGAGTTACAAATGCCGGCTGGGGAATTCTGGGAGTTGAATTCCACCCGTCTTCAAGCTGCCAGGATTGGAAAAAAAAACGTTATTCTAAAGGCCTGGAATCTAAGATTAAGATGACAGCTGGCTAATAAAATAAAAATGCTAGGCCTTTGGAAAGGCGGCTAACCTTGCCAAGCTTGCCAGCCAATCCCCCAATTTCAACTGGGAGGGTTAAAGGAACCGTGAATAATAAATTCGTTATTTATTAAATTTATATCTCACCCGTCTCCCGCTCTAGGCAGCTTACAGCAAAACTTTATTTTTCCAAACATTTTCCCTGCCTTTGGCAAACAGACCAGTCAGGGAGAAAGTTAAAGGATAAAAACCCTGATTCCCTGAGAAGGTGGATTTTGAAAAGCGGGATTGTTCGTTCGGGCGGGCAATGGATAGGATGATTTGTTTTAAGTACAATTTTCCCATTTCCAGGATATAAGTCAGACAGCGGTGTATTGGGAATTGAATAATCTTTTACCTTCAGGGCACATGTCTCACGCTGACTTATAATTAACTGGAGTTACTAACATAAATCACTTCATTCTTGGAATAGCCTGACTGAAGAGCTATGTAATTTTAAGCCAGCCAGGAATTGGACTAAATGATCTCCAGGATCCTTTCCGATTTATACCTTCTGCGAATATTAGAGGTCCTTTAAATCAGCCTTCCCTTAATTACACCAAATGCAAAGGCTCTCATTCTCACAACATGTTTAACCTAGCTGCTGAATTGACCCATATTCTACACTGCCTCAGTGCTTAACGAAGTAAACGAGTTTTCGGTCATTAAAGCCACTATATCACAAAACAACAATAACAACTACCCCCTAACTCACTTTGGTTAATCATCATTAACCAAAATTAGTATGTTATGCGAATGGCAAGCCTTTAGGACTTCCTGGCCTAGTTTAGGCTGGTGTACAGGTAGTCCTCGACTTA